TATATATATATACTGGAATTTTCATGAAACTGATACTCCTGAAATATCATTCCCACCTGGAATTCAAAAAAAAGAAGAAAAACAATAACTAGATCTAGATCTAACAGCCACCAAGATTCACCTCGCAAAAATCTCGAACAATAAGTAACAAGCATTATGATGGAATAAAAACAGTTTTACGGTACTTAATATTTCCTCTTTTCCTCTTGGGCAACTGCCCAATGGTGTTTTTTTCCTTCTTTTCATAAAACAGCAATGACGTTTATTGAGGATTTAGTTGTCGACGCACGGCAGGGACCAGCTAGATTTTTTTTTTCAGACAACGCATAACACGGTGAACCGCAGCGGGAAACAAGCACAGAAGCTGGAGATAAACAGAGTGTACAACGCCCTTTTAGAGGAAAAAGAAATTCCCCCCAACCAACAAAAAACAAGAAAACCTGCATAAACAACCCTCCCCCCCAAGAAAAAAATAAATAATAATAATTAAAAATTAAATTAAATTTAAAAATTTTAAAACACACAAAAAAATCCCCCCAAAAACAAGAACAGAAACAAAACAATAGCAAAAAACCCGAAAAAAAATGTAAAGTATCAAAACAACAACAACAACAACAACAACAACAACAACAACAACAACAACAGCAACAACAACAACACAACAACAACAACACAACAACAACTGATGTATGCTTGCTTGTGACTCTTTAGTGACTATATAGTCTCGACTGTGTTTTTCCCCCCACTCTGTTGTATTCCCGATACCGTGATTACAGAGTTGTTCTAAACAAGGGGGGGGGGGGTTGTTTTCTCAGGCGGTATACCGTCTTCCAAGTATTCGACATTGTTGTCTATTTAGAATGAATCCACCCCAAAGTCTATCACTCGCTAATTAATTGGGGCAGAAAGTGTCTGGCATAATATGTGTACTTATACTCATGTCAGAAAATGTTGTTAACGTTTTGTTATCCAATGGTCCAGACAAACAACTAATTGTAGAGCAGTTTAAACATTTTGAAAGATTGGAGATAAAGAAAAAAAAATCAACAAAAAACAATACAAACAAAACAAAACAAAACCTTTTCTATTCAGCATGAAACATGCCTTTAAGTGTATCGCCCC